GTCCCCGCCAAATGCCGGTGAGGCCAAAAGTGTTGGCTTGACTTAGGAAATAATCGGGTGTGAGTGGACTTGGTTTAATAACGGAGGAGGAAGGCGACAGGCGAGATCATCCGTAACGGGGCGGGGCCTCCGTGACTCGTGGGCGTGGGGGTGGAGTCAAGAGCGATGACCCCCCGCAAGGTCCCACGTTCAGAGACCCAGGGGCAGTGCGAGCTCCCCGCAGGTTTTCTGCCTTGCTGACGCGACGGGGTGACGGAGGACGCCCTACGTCGAGCCTGCTCCGCCTCCGCCGAGAGTGTGGGCCCGGCGCTGACTTGACTGCCGCTGCCCGGGGACAGTGCGGCAGGCCGAAGGGGAGCCGAGGCGTCTGCGGCGCCCGCCCAGAGCGCGACTGAGGGCTCCATCGCGTGCGCGAGCTCCCGAAACTGGGTAGGGAGGGCGCGGGGCCGCAGCCGGAGGACTGGCGGGGAGCTGGCTGGGCCCGAACGCCCAACCTCTTGCGACTCGGAAGGGGTGGCGGATTCGCCCGAGCCGGGGATCACCCTCCGGAGGGCTGGAACGCTTGTGTCCGGGGTGGGCAGGGCCCCCCGGTGGGGCCCCGAGCCGAGGATGCTGGAACCTCGAACGGCTTTGCGCAACCCAGGGACTGGGTTTCTCTTGCAGCCCGGCCGAGCGAATGGGCGGGAAAGGCGAACCTCGGGGTTCACCCGAAGTGGGAGGGGCCGGGCTCCCCGTCTCCTAGCAGAGGGTGGGGCTTGCTTGAGCAGACCGCCGCTCCACGTCCAGGTCCCGAGGCTTGACGGACACGCCCGAAGGAAGACACGCACTCTTGCGGAAAAGGGCGGTGCGACCGCCGTGGCGGCGGGAGGTCTCCCCGAGGAGACGTGATGCGGGGGCACGCACCGGCAGAGACGATGGCCACCGGGCGCTGAGGGGGAGCGGAGCGGTGGGACCTGCCCGCCAGGCGTGGTCTCTGCACGGTCCTTCCGGGCGGGGCTCGGCCCCGGGGGCGCGCAGGTGGCAACCCCGGCCCCGCCCCGCTCGGGATCAGGGGCGGGGCCTCGCTTGCACTGGGGCGTTGGAGGGCTTCGGTCGGGTCCGCGGGGCTGCTTGGGTGACCGCGTCGCCGCCTCCTACCCTGCAGGAGGATGCTGGTGGTGGAGGTCGCTAATGGCCGCTCGCTGGTGTGGGGAGCTGAGGCGGTGCAGGCGCTGCGGGAGCGCTTGGGAGTCGGGGGCCGCACGGTGGGCGCCCTGCCCCGCGGGCCCCGCCAGAACTCGCGCCTGGGCCTCCCGCTCCTGCTGTTGCCCGAAGAGGCCCGGCTCCTGGCCGAGATAGGCGCCGTGACGCTGGTCAGCGCCCCGCGTCCGGATCCCCGCAGCCATGGCCTGGTAAGAGGCGAAAGGCCCTTGTGGTGGGAATGCCTGGGAGGGCCTGGTCTGGAAAGGCGCTCTTGGAAGGTTGTTAGCAGGGTCGGAATTCCCGTCTTCCTAAGGGATCGCAGGCAGTGTGTGCCCTGGGGTTCCAGCTAAGTTTGCTTCTCAGGCCCTAGCATCGTTCAAACGCCAGCAAGAGCAGAGTTTCCAGGAGCAGAGCACTTTGGCCGCCGAGGCCCGTGAGACCCGGCGCCAGGAGCTCCAAGAGAAGATCGAAGAGGGCCAGGCCGCCAAGAAGCAGAAGCTGGAACAGGATTCAGGGGCGGAAGAAGGCCAAGAAGCCGGTGGAAGCGAAGCTACCCAAGCTAGTGAGACAAGTGATGATGGCCAGGCTTCTGCGGAGCAGGAGGGAGCAGGTGAGAATAGGGTTCGGAGTTCAGATTTGGGGCAGGAGGGAAGGAAGCTTTGGGGGATTTTAGTTGGGTTTTTTTGGGAATGAGGAGACCTTGCCTTGTGGATTCAGTAAATTCTTCTCTGCACCTCCCCCAGACTCCTCATCTCCCCAACCAGGGCCTTCAAACGGGGTGACCCCCTTGCCCAGGTCAGCCCTGCTCATCCAGCTGGCCACTGCCAGGCCTCGGCCTGTGAAGGCTAAGCCTCTGGACTGGCGTGTGCAGTCCAAAGACTGGCCCCACGCTGGCCGTCCTGCCCACGAGCTGCGCTACAGCATCTACCGCGACCTCTGGGAGAGAGGCTTCTTCCTCAGCGCAGCTGGGAAGTTTGGTGGCGACTTCCTGGTCTATCCCGGTGAGTTGAGGTTGGGGCTCTAGTGGCTGTCCCTTTCCTGATGGTCTTTGTCCTGCATTTTTCTCTCTTGTGTCACCTCTACGCCCTGGGGACACAGAAAAGTACAGCAAATAACGTGAGAGTTCTGAGCTCCTGGAGTGTAGTTTAATAACCTGTTTTGTTTGAGACAGGGTCTCATTATGTCGCCAGGCGAGCTTGGAATTTGCTCTGCTGCACAGGCTAGCCTTGGAATGCAAAGTCTTCCTTTCTCTACTTCCCGAGTGTTGGGATTACAGGCTTATATCACAACAGCTGGCTTGGTTTAGTAACTTTCCATAAGTTCTCTGTGTGATCTAGAAGATTGGCTTAGAAATGCTTGCAAGTGTTCACAGGACATATGAGCACATTTGCTGCAGGATTCTTTATAGGTTTGAAAGATTAAAAGCAGCAAAGTCACTAATAGGTTGGAAACAAAACATAGCAGTTAAGCCAGGGAGGTGGTCTCTTCCTTTAATCCCAGCACTGGGGAGGCAGAGGTACGTGTATCTCTGAGTTCCGGGCCATCCAGGAGGCATAGAGACAGTCTCAGAACAACAACAAGAAAAACAACAACAACGAAACAGTTGTCTGAGAAACACAGGCGTGATTATCGAAGAATTGAAGTGTAGGATTGTAGCTGGGTATGGCGGTACATGCCTCTAATAAGCGGAGGCATAGTGTAGGATTGTAGCTGGGTATGGCGGTACATGCCTCTAATGATAAGCGGAGGCACAGTGTAGGATTGTAGCTGGGTATGGGGGTACATGCCTCTAATGACAAGCGGAGGCATAGTGTAGGATTGTAGCTGGGTATGGCGGTACATGCCTCTAATGATAAGTGGAGGCACAACCAGTTTGAGGCTAGCTTTGGCTACATGATACCCCATCTCAACAAAGAAAAAAAAAAGGGTATGATGGCCATACCTATAATCTTAGCACTTGAGAGTCTGAGACAGGAGGATTGCCACAAGTTTGAGACCGATATAGGCTACATAGTGAGTTCAGGCGAGCCAGGGCTGGGTATCAAGACCGTGTCTGAAAAAAGAAAAAAAAAAAAAAAAAAAAACACAGGGTTGCCAGGTGGCGGCAGCACACACCTTTAACCCCAGCACTCAAGAGGCAGAGGCAGGTAGTAGATCTTCTGAGTTCAAAGCCATCCTGGTCTACAGAACGAGTTCCAGGACAGTCAGAGCTACATAGAGAAACCCTGTCTCGAAAAAAAAAAAAAGGTAGGGTCATGTATGTGAAAAATACAATCAAAAGTAAAATGACAGGTGGTTGGAAATATATGGTAGATTGCGTGTTGATACGGACATGCAGGTGCATGCATGCCATTTAAGTACCGTTGATCATTGAGGTTCTAGCTAGGTCTGAGTAAGGTGATGTGGACCTGTATCCCCAGCTCCTTGGGAACCTGCAGCTTAAAATAACTAGTTCAAATCAGTTAATTTCCTAATCCTATACCTTGTTTGTTTGTTTTTTGAGGTAGGGGCTCATCTGACTGGCCCAGAATTTGCTGTGTAGACCAGGGTAGACTCGAACTCACAGAGCCTGCCTCTGCCTCCCAAGTGCTCAGATTAAAGGCTTGCACCACCATGCCTGGCAATCTCAGTTTTTTAAGATAAGGTCTACTCTGTAATCCTGACGGGCCTCAGACAGAGATCCACCTGTCTGTCTCTAGAGTGCTGGAATTAAAGGCATCTGCTTACCACACCAGGAATTTCTTTTCTTTTCATGCAAAGTCTCACTATTGAATCCCAAGCCAGTGTCTAGTTCACTACCTAACACAGTTGGAAGCATCTTCTTGCCTCGGCCTCCCTAGTGCTAGGATGGCAAATGTGTGCCACCACACCCAGCTCTAATTCTACACATTAAATTGAACTATAAGCGAAACCGTTTGTTCTTTTCTTGCCTCTTTTACTTCTTTTTAACAGAGT